ACGTCCCATCGGTCAGTCAAAATGCCCCCAATTTATTCCCCAAACCCACAAGCAACCAATCAAATCAACTCCCGCAGGCGCAGTCCCCAAAAGTGTTCTTAGAACTTTCTATTTTAAAAAATAAACACATTTAATTAATGTTTCAATTTATAGGCAACTAGTACAATACCCGTGCGATGCACGGGGTTATTATCTCCGTCCCTTTTAAAAAGCAACTTTCAGTTAAAATTCAAAGTACTTACTAAAGGAAAGATCATGTCATTAATAATTAACAAATTAATAAGTATAATGAAATAAAATCTATATATTATTGAACATTGCCCTATATAAAACGTTCATGGTTTGATTCTTTGGCACGTCATCGTCGCCACAAATTAGGATTTTCAAACCATTTCTGTTTGTGATACGGGAGACAACAACATACAACTGGCTATGACAAATCACTGGTTTCTTAAGAAATAAGCCCACATACAAATGATTGTCCATGCTCTTATTTATAGTCATGACATAAGAAACCATAATGGGAAACTATCAACGTTGGAACTTAAAATGAATTCTACCATTATAAGGAGTTATAGCCACTCTTGGAATCAACACTTTATCACCTGCGCGATAGCCAGTGAATATCTTACGCCCGAGAACATGAGTGGCAAACTTTGTCACAACCAATCATGTCTCATTACATAGACCCATAAAGGAGATATAGTTACAAAATGTCAAGTTAAAAAAGAAAGGAGTAGCTTAAGAAATAAGATCATGCTTATCAATGTGACATAATTTTTTAAAAATTAATGGAGTTTGATATGCATCATTTATCAAACCTTGAGATTTTTTCTGCAATATTTAACTCAAAACAATCTGAACAAATTGTGAAATTTGTTGTCAAAAGAAATCCAAAAGTGTATAAATATCTATAAAGTGTGTTACAATATATATATATATATATATATATATATATATATATATATTAAAGGATTTGTTATCAAAATCCGGATTTGTTATCACAATCAAATCAAATTGTGTGTAAATAAAAAAATCTCGAGATGTTTTCTGCAATATTTAACTCTAAACAATCCGAAAAAATTGTGAAATATGTTACCAAAAGAAATCCCAAAGATTATCGGCAATATATTGTGTGTAAATAAAAATAAAGTGTGTTACAAAGAAAACTGTTGTTTTAAAGGGGTTGTTATCAAAATCTGAGATTTGCTATCACAATCCGAGATTTGTTATCACAATCAGATCAAATTTGTTAACAAAATCTAAGATTTGTTATCAAAATAAGATCAAATTTATTACAAAAATTCAATTATATTGGTTGACATGTGGAGCTCATTGATATTGCTTATAATAGTAAGTCAATAATTAATTTTTTATTTTGAAGATTATGTGTCATATCAATGTGACATAATGTTTACCAGAATTAATGGAGTTTGTTACAATTTAATTTGGTAAGGCGTTTTGGATTGATTGAACAAAAAAATATTTTTATTTTGATATGCATCATTCATCAAAAATCGAGATTTGTTCTGCAATATTTAACTCCGAGCAATCCAAAAAAATTGTGAAATTTGTTACCAAAAGAAATCCCAATGATTATCGACAATATATTGTGTGTATATAACTATGACGTGTGTTATAAAAAAAGAGGATACATTAAAAATTTCGTTATCAAAATTCGAGATTTGTTATCACAATCTGAGATTTGTTCTCATAATCAGATCAAATTTGTTAACATAACACGAGATTTGTTATCAAAATAAGATCAAATTTGTTACTAAAATTCGAGATTTGTTATCAAAATTCGATCAAATTTGTTACCAAAATCCGATTAAATTGGTTGACATGTGGAGCCCATTGATAATGCTTATATTAGTAAGTCAACAATTAATCTTTTATTTTGAAGATTATGTGTCATATCAATATGACATAATTTTTACCAAAATTAATAGAGTTTGTTACAATTTAATTTGGTAAGGCTTTTTGGATTAATTGAAAAATAATATTTTTATTTTGTATGTATCATTTAACAAATCTCGAGAATTTTGCTGCAATATTTAACTCCAAACAATCCAAAAAATTGTGAAATAATTATCCATGAATATCTTATGATTGATTTTATAGCTAATTTGCGTTTGAATTTGAATATATATCAAGCCACGAACATAAAATTAAATTTTTTCAGTATTTATCACATGTTTTCATAATTTGAATTTGAAATTGAAAGCTCGTCGCCCATTAAAAAAATCGAAAAAAAATGTATGAATAATAGTATGAATGATATTTTTTGGTGAGATTTTAGTTACTTTTTTAAGTAAATTTCTATTCCTATTATATATTTATAAATTTTTTTTGTTAAAAAAATAAAAAATTCAATTAATACCCACGAATTATTTGAACATCTATTGTTAAATGCTTTACAAATTATTTGATTTTGATTTACCCAAATTATTTGATTTTCATTTTGATTTTTGATTGACCAAAATTTTTGGTGGGATATCAATTGATTTTGATCTACCAAAAATTTGTTTATTTGTAGTAGATAAAATACGTTTTTAATATACTTGTAGTACAAAAATAAAATAATTTTGGTAACTACATTTGATTATTCATGTTCAAATCTCACATTTTTTAATTTTTGAATAATCAAATATGTAGATTTACCAAAATTTGTTTTTAATATGTGGATTATGTTTAATTCTCACATATTTTAAATTCAAATCCTTTCCAAAGTTTATGGGATATCAATGATTTCAATTTTCAACCTAAAAATCTGTAAATTCAAAGAGATTCACATGGATTTAGTTAGGAAATAGAAAATGAATCAAATTAGTTACCAAAAAATATGGCTTGTCAATATCCTATCAAATTATCCGGATTTAGTTAGGAAATAGAAAAGGGATTAAATTAGTTACCAAAAAATATGGCTTGTCAATTTCCTATCAAACTAGTACGAATCCCGTGCGATGCACGGGGAGCAATTTTAAGTGGTGATTATACGTCCACTTGTATGGGAAAAAATGACAAATTATTTTATAATTTATTTAACACTTCCAAGTACACAACATTCGTGGTTTGAGTTTTTGGCAAATCGTCCTCACCACAAACTCTGACGATTCGTAATGCGGGAAACAACAACATACAGTTGACCCTAAACATTGGTTTCTTTAGAAACCGACCAATTGTGTGATAACGATTGACATTGACTCTTATTTATTGTGATATTGAATCCATTTATCATACGTGAGAAATAACGTATATGGAATTATTATCATTATCTATTAAAAGTTATATGAAAATTTTGAAATATTTATTAAGTAGGTTAGATAAATACAGAAATGAATCAATATGTGTAACAGTGTGGTTAAAGATTATTGAATTTTTTAATTTCAAACCCAAATAAAATCAGAAAAAAATCAAAATAGTTTGTCATTAAATTGATATAATTTAATCAGTTTGTTGAAAACGATACATAAAATTAACTGCGTAAGAGGACATAAAATATATATGTTTAAAATATCTAAAATATTATATAACATATATATAATACCCAAAATATACTATATTATTCTTAAAATGTGTGAAGTCACTCAATTCTTTATACTATATTGGAAGAAAAATATGTATAAAGCACATTTAAATTTATTAAGAAAAGTTGTACACAAATTCTATTTACGGTCAACAACTTGACTTTGATTAAAAAAAGAAAGCAATAATAAATTATGAAGACCTAAAGATTATAAGTATATTAAATAAATCAAAATATGTGGAAGTTTGAACCATTAACAACGTAAATAACAAAAGAAAAAAAAAATAAAACAATGTGATACGTATATATATTGCGTATTTCCAAAAGATTGCATACAGATTTACTAATATAATGTATATTTATATATGCTAACATTTCATGACCAATATCAAACTAAAAATTTGGCAGGAATTCAAACAAATCTTTCATTACCTTGCGTAGTCAACCAAATTAGTTTATTTCTTTTATTATTTTTTTAACCAATATTAGGCATATCAAAGAAATAATGCAATAAAATTGAACTTAATAAATAAATAATTCCAAAGCATTAAATTACAGTAAAAAATAGATAAGAAAATTGACATTCCATTTCACATTGGAACTGCATACTTCTTTGGACTCGTACACTTATATTTTTTTGGGCATAAAATTGATTTTTTCATTGCTGAAATTCTTGACAAACAGAGCACATACAAAAATTTCTTCACGAAAATCTCGCGAGAAAGTTTACAGACAACTGAAGAAATTGTCGAACATGACTTCTTTCTTAGTCCACGCCAGAAACTCACATTAATTTCTCGCAATTAAAATTGATCCGACAGGTCAGCTCATGTCGATGGTTCCAACGGAAAACTGGACATAAAACTCGCTGCACTGCCATCATCCGTGCAGCTACCTGATAATTCCATCGAAGAAACTGGACATAAATCCACGGTGCACTGCCATCATCCGTGAAAGTGTTCTTCCTCGTAAATCCGGCGTCTAATCCGCTCGTGCTACCATTCTCCAACCACAAAAGCCAAGCAGCCCGGCTGCCGGAAAAGCAAACAACTGCCCTCTGAATTTTGACCAGGTTCAGCCCACATCGTTCCATGTTCGGTGTCCTGTTCGTCTGCACGTCCACATAACTCCGCACTTGGATGTCAAGGATGTTTCCTTCTTTACATGACCCTACACAGTTTGAATCCAAGTTTTTTCCTCTAAAAAACAATAAGAGAGAAAAAAAGTGTTGTCTGATGATTTTAACTTGGACACAAGAAGGGCTAAATACCATCTATTTGTCGAACAGATTTTCAAGGCTGAAACCCTGAGACCTAGAAATAAGCTCAAAGGCATTCATGGACACTGGTTTCTCTTTCCTTTCTGTTACAAGATGTTCCTGCCAAAGAATTAATTAAATAAAGTTACACTCGACTTAGTTTTAAGTATAGTCAGTACACAAATGCAATTATGTTAAATTTCAACAGCTTACGTCAGAGTCATTGAAGACAACATCCACATCTTCAAGATTAACACCCTCTTCCTGCTCAAACTGAGGTGGTTTGTAATATTTCTTGAACCAATCATTTTCCAGAATTTCAGGAATTGTAATTCTCTGCAACATCCACATATATATACCATAATTCCAAAAGATATTGTCCAAATTTAGTTTTGCTAAATTTGATTATGGTTTATAAAAGGAAAGGAATATTTGAAAGCTCACAGTAATAGGATTTGGATCCAGAATAAGCTTAATCAGCTTTTTTGCACTGGATGAGAACCATAAAAGAAATGAGAAATCTGCCTTTTGAATCTGAAAAGATATAATAAGAATAATAATATGACATGACATACTCCAAACACAATTAGAATGGCAAAGCAAGAAATTGTCTTTACCCTTCTGTACAAAGCCATGAGGTTGGGTGTCATCAAAATAAAACTGAGAAATTGACCAGAAGCACGTGTCGCAGCCCTTCCTCATGGATAAATTTTCAAAAACTTTTGATGCCCAAAAGCGAGTCGTGTTAGATAACTTTATTACAAAAATAAAAACCTACCCGGACTTGCTTCGAGAATGCACTCAATCTAAAATCTGAAACTTTAAGGACACCATAAGAGTCCAGCAACAGATTCGCTGGCTGCATATGCTAATTTTACGGAATTGAGGGCCAATTTGAATTCAAAAACTCGATTATTAAGCAAAAAATATGACATAAAATTGATTTCAATTTTAGATTTCTTAAATAATTGCATAGGGTTTGAAATTAAACACCATAAAAAAAACGAAAAGAAAAAAAAAAATCAAGAGTTTAAGATCTTATAAAAAATACCTAAGGGGCTTGAGGAAGAACATCCCATTCCAATATTATTCATAATTTTGCATCAGATCTACAAAACAAACCATAAAAAAAAATAAAAAGAAGAAGAAGATCAAGATTTTAAGATCTTATGAACAAAATTACCTCAAGAGCTTGAGGAAGAACATACCATCTCCAACATCTGGCAAAAAAAAAAAGATAAGAACATTTTTTTTTCTAGAGAGATAATTATGAGAGAAAGTGTAGGCAATGATAATGAGGAAAAAAAATTAGACGCAATTTGCAATCCCGTGGACTGTAGGAAAAAAAATCGGACGCAAGTTTGAATTATGCAATCCGATTTCAAATGCTCAGCATTTAATGCCAACAATTTAGGATGCTTGTTGTCAAAGTAAAAAAATAAAAAAAAAATCCAAAAATGGTAAATAAAAAATGCTGTCAAAAAATTATGCTTACTATTTTTAAAAAATAGTAAATCTGTTTATATATACTAGTGCGTATCCCGTGCGATGCACGAGTATATAAATTTAGAGAATACTATAATTTGACATGCATTAGATATATTAGAGTTTAATACATACGAACATTATTCATCATAAAATGTTCGTCATGAAAAAATTTTATATTATTAAAAACCTCTTTGTACACAACATTATGTGTTTGATTATTGGATAACTCATTGTGAGGAGCAGGGCCGACTCGGGCAGGACGCGGGCTACACAAAGGGTTGCGGAAATTGGGTCTCACTCAACTGGGATCCCTTGCTGGGCTTCTCTCTTGGGCTGCGAATTCTGATTGTTCTCGTCGAAAAAATTGCTCTCACGCTTGGACTACTTTTCTAATTTTCAACTGTATTATAAATTATATTTTATTCCTACTTTAACTCTTTCATTCCTATTCTACGTAGACAGTTATTATACATTCCCAGTTATACTAATAAAGTATATTTTTAGTTTGAATCATATAACTTCCTTAATAGTGAGTTGAATAATTTATAGATTGAAATATAATTTAATGATTCCCTCTAATTTCTCTCCCCTCTTCCTTTTTCATAATTCATATTTCACAGTTTTCTCCAAATAAAACAAAAAATTACATACAACAATTATTAGGTTGACCACAAATAAATCAAAATAAGACTGTAAATAAACGTAAACTTTTCCTTAATAATTTATGTATATTTTTTTTTAAATGTTAATTGCAATGATTCATGTTCGACACAAAATTGGTTTGTTTGTTTTTTTTTTTATTAATTGTTTATGAATATGCTATCAATCTTAATTTTTGTTCAAAGTTATCCATGATATGTGTTTTAGAGATATAAAAATGACCTTTTCTGTAGTAACTAACCACCAAATTTAAGGGCATGATTGTTCATAAAATATTTTATTCAAAATATTTCATTTTGGTTAACTATGGTTAAAGTTGAAAAAGTAGTGTGGTATTATATTAGTGGGATTTAAAAAATATATTAAAATAATATTTAAAATAAAATGATTAAAATTGATTTGTTATAAAGTAAGAGAAAAATGATTGGAAATGATTGATTGTTAAAATTATGTGAGTGGATGAATAGTGAATTAAAGTTGATGTGATGTGTAAGAATGATTGGTTTGTATTATTTAATTATATGAATAACATTAAAGATAGTGGAGTTGAGTTAAAGTTAAGTTAAAAAAATAAAAGAAAAAGAAGTTGCCATTAATAGAAAACAATTAATGAAGAGAGAGGTTTGACCAAAATTTGAATTGCTATTTTTGAAAAATGGTAATTCTTTTTATATATATATAGATATAGATTATCCAAATTTTATACCATTAATTACGTGTGTATTTTTTGTTATTACTTATAATAGTAAGTCAAAGCATTATTTTTTATAGTCAATCTTACTATTCTTGTATTTTTCCAACAACCTCTTTATATTACTATAGATTTCATAAAACTGAATATAAATGAAATAAATATAACCCGATGCTTTTTTTTTTATTATTATTATTATAAAAGGAAAAATATAAGGGATATGAAACCTTTCTCGCCACATTATAAATGTGTATTACGTTTTTTTCACAACACTAGTTGACAATTTAACTTATTTTTACCCAAAAAAATTTGAATGTTATGCAAATAAACTACATCACTGTCGTATATTGATTGTATATAACAATCACATATTTATCAAACAATGTTTTAGGTAGCTGCATATAGCGCACAATAGCATAATTTTGCTTCAAAACGTGATGAAATTACTATTTCGATTTTACCTGAAATACTTACGCAAAATGCTAAAGTGACACACATACGAGCCTGTATGATTGTTTATAAAAAAATTTGGTTTTGTTTTAATTTTTAGTTTGGTTTGTTTAGTTTTGAAAAAAGTGATAGGGTTAGTTTTAGTGGGTATATTAAAATAATATTTAAAATAAAATAATTAAAATTTATTTAATGTAAAAGTTGGAGAGAGATGATTTGACGTGATAGTTAGTTAAAATAATGTGAGTAGATGAATAGTGAATTAAGGTTGATGTTGTGTGTATAGATGATTGATTGATATTATTTAATTATAATGATAATATTATTTTTTTTGGTACATGGACCTTCCGGTTTCCAGATCCACAGGGGAACCGACTAGTCCGGAATCGAGCCGGGAAGGACCACAATGGCGCGACAAAGCTCTCCCTCAAGAGTTTTAACACTGTTGCATTCCCAGGGCTCGAACTCGAGACCACTAGTTAAGCTGGAAGAGACCCAAGCCATCTCATCCAAGCGTTTTTGGGTATAATGATATTATTATTAATAGAAAATTGAGTTAAAATTGAATTAAAAAAAGTGGTTGAATTAAGATGTTGGAAATTTTGTGAATAAATTCATAAACCAACATAGCAATTTTGACTGTTCAATGAGAGATTCAAACATACATAGACCTACTTATTATTTTATTTTTTATTTTTTTTTTTATAATAGAATAAGAGAAAAAAAAATGGATTTGATTAAATAAGTGAAAATAAAAATTACGAAAACATAAATTGGAACAAACCCCCCAAAGCCCGCATTTAAATGCGAAGCACCGACAGCGCCTCCATTATCAACAACAACCCCACATGAAACTCCCCAAATCCTTCCTCAAACCCCTACGCGCCACCAGGAACGGCTTCTTCCGCCGCCGCCGCAGCGGCTCCATCCGCGGCGGCGCCTCCTTCTCCGGTCCCCCGGCCGACAACCCCGAGCCGTCCTCTCCCAAGGTGACCTGCATCGGGCAGGTGAGGGTGAAATCGAAGAGGAGGGGTAGCCACCGCCGCCGGAGCCTCTCCCGGCGGCGGACGGGAGAGGCGAGCTTCCGGAGGTCGGCAGCGGAGCAGCTGCAGGAGGAGCGCAAGAGCCGGAGGTGGGTCCACCTGCGCGCCTTCGGGTCGGAGCTCGCCTGCCTGCTTTTCCCCTGCGCCGGCGGCTGCTGCCGCCGTCGTCATAAATGTCGAATCTTTAAGAGCGATTGTTGTTGTAGTGACGGTGATTGTAATGGTGGGGAAGAAATTGGGGGATGTGGGGCTGTTCTAGGTATGTGTCTGGTGTGCGGAGGGCGGCGGGGGGAGATTTTGGCGGCGGCCGGCGGCGGAGACGCCGCGGCGGAGGAGGAGGATGAAGGAAAGTCGGGAAGGCGGCACGTGTTTGATGATATTGAGGTTAGGAATGGGAGGATCGAGGTTAAAGGGTGGAGTTTGGAGGTTGAAGACGAAGAAGATGATGAAAGAGGGAGAATTGGCATGTGTGTACCTCCCAAGAATGCGCTCTTGCTTATGAGGTGTCGATCGGATCCGACAAAAATGGCGGCACTTGTCAATAGGTACTCTAATTTGGAGTATAGAAATCGTGAGGATATCGAAGAAGATGAAGAGAATAGTTCTTGGGAAGAAGGAGATTTGGTGTTTGAGAAAGCGCAAGAAGTTGTGTTTGAGGATAAATGTGAAGCCTTTGAGCAATGTACTAAGGTTCCGAGTAAGATCGATGGAAAAGAAGATATTCGAAATGAAGTGAGACACGAATTGGAAAGCAATGTTGAGGTGAAATTAGTGAATGTTGGTGTGGAAGAAGAACAAGAAATTAAGGCCAAAGATGAACAAGAAGAAGAAGAGGTTGAGGCTAAAGATGAAGAATCAGAAGAGGTCGAGTCGAATATGTCCGCATCTGAAGCTCTATTATTAGACCAAGAAAACTCGGATAGCTACCTAGAAAAGGTAGAAGAGAACAACAGTGAGGAAGACGAGGAGCAAGAAACCGGCCAGGGAGAAAAAGAAGAAGAGGAAGATGAAGAACACGGAGACGTTGGAAGCCGGAAAATTCAAGAACTGGACAAAAGCAATCAGGTTGAGAACAATAGAGAAGAAGAAGATGAAGAGCAGAGCAAGCAGGTGCTGCCCGATTGCTTGCTGTTGATGATGTGCGAGCCCAAGCTGTCAATGGAGGTCAGCAAGGAGACCTGGGTCCGGGGCGCCGACTTTGTCAAGAGGTCACCCAAGGCCGCCGCCGGCGGCTGCGAACGCCATCAGGACAGGGGCAGGCCGCCCGCCGGCGCCGACACGAAGCCCAGGAAGCAGATAACTGCCCCGCCGTCCGGAAGGAGCGACGGAACCCGCCGTCATTTCCTCCAGCCGCCGCGGTCGTCGTGCTCGCTGCCGGCACCGGCGGCGGCGACGGGGCCGCTCTCGCTGACGAGATGCAAGTCGGAGCCGAGGAGGACGGCGGCGGACAAGCTGGCGCCCGAGACGACACCGTGGAAGGACGGCGGCGGTGGCGGGGCGAAGATGGAGGTGCACGGCCGGGCCGCCGTCGGCGCGGCTGGAGTCGGGTTCTGAGGGTGGGGCCGCGGGTCGGGTGTGCAATAAATTTTCAATCGTTTGATTGAACGTGGGTGACAGGTGTCGGTCACAGTAATTTTGTTCCCCCAGCTATGTTTATCCTACCTGTAAATATATATTATTTCTTTTTGTTTTTTCTGGAAATAATTAGTTTGCTTATTTTATTAGTTTGATTTTCGTTTTGACTTGTTTACTAATGTTTTCACTATTAGTTTGAGTATTTGTTAAAAAAATTATTTTTAAGATTAACATTTAGTATAGGACGTGGCCAGGTGCCGGTTCTCGGCCCGGCCTGCTGGCCCATGGGCCCTCCAATACATGGCCTGCGACCGGCCCGCCTAAAAACTAAGGGCCGATTCACAGTATCGGCCCGAACCGTCGGGTTGAACCGTCGGTTCACCAACCCGACGGTTCACGGGTCGGTACGGCCCTTAAAAAAAACTTTAACAAGGTGGTCTGCCGTCCGGCCCGGTCCGGACCGGCGGGACCAAAATAAAAAAAGAAACTGGGACCGAATCGCGGTCCTACGGGTCCCGGTTCAACGAACCGGCCCTTAAGAGGCCGAGCCGGGCCGATTCGGGCCGTGCCGGTGCCGGTTTGCGGGTCGGGCCACGGGTCGGTTTGTCCCGTGGCCATGTCTAATAGGGCTTAACATATTATACTGTAATATTTTTTTAAATTATATCATATAATTATTTCGTAGTTAAATTAATTTAAATAATTTTTTTAATTAATATCAATAGGTGATTTAGCTTTTATTACAAATATAAATATAATTATTGAGAATAAATACCTTTTTCTTTCTAACTTTGAATTATACTTAAAATATAAGTAAGTATTTTTTTTATAATTATAAAACAAAAACAGGAAAAAATAAAGATTGAGGTAAATCACATAGAAAAGTGAAAATAATATTAAGTATTTGGTGAATTATTTCATATTTTGTTTGAAATTTGTCTCATTATAAGCCAATAATTCCGTCATTGATTTTGTATTTCGTGATTCGTTGTGTTATTTAAAAATCAGACTCGAAGAATATTTTAATTCTCCATAATATTTGGCCAGAAAGACCTCCTAATGATCTAACCATCATATTCATCAGGATTCAGGGATCAACCTGTCACAATATATAAACAATAAAATGCGTATTTTTATTATAAAATATTGAATTTTCTGACCATGGCTTTTACTAAAAAATCACACTTTTTAATAAAAATATGCATATTCAGGCCCAAACCCCCATATTTTCGGAAAATCAACAGGCAAGATCCAATTTTTTTTTTTTTTTTTTAATTTTATATTAACATGCATATTTAAAAAAAAGATATGACAAGTTTGTTAGAATATTTCATTGTGTTGTCCCACATCGTTTATATATGGAAATTGAGCCTAATTTATAAGTATAATGGGTTACTCATCCGTTCACCAATTAGTTTTGGGTTGGAACCTCACTTGGGTTTCATTTGGACTTGCCTGTTATAGTGCACTTCATGTGATAGAGACCGCACTTGTTTTCCCCCGTTTCTTACTGGTATCAGAGCCAGTTCTATTTAGCCCGTGCGATGACGTACCCATTTTCCCCTCGTACCCGTTTATGGAAATTTGTTTCTAGTAGGGTTTGGGCACCTAGCTTCGTATATGAGCTTGGACTTTTTATTATGGACTCACAAGTGAGGGAACGTGTTATAATATTCACTTGTGAGTTCTATTGGGGCCGTGCGATGACGTACTCATTCTCTCCACGTACCCGTTTATGGGAGCATGTTTCTTGTAGAGCTTGGGCACCCAACTCCGGATATGAGCTTGGACTTTCGTATAATGGACTCACAAGTGAGGGGACGTGTTATAATATTTAATTGTGAGTTGTCCCACATCGTTTATGTAAGTAAATTGAGTCTAATTTATAAGTCTAATGGACTACTCCTCCTTCCACCAATTGGTTTTGGGATAGAATCTCACTTGGACTTCATCTGAACTTTTCCTGTTATAGTGCGTTTCACGTGCGTGGGACCACCTTCGTTTTTCTCCCTGTTTCTTACAAAGTTCAAATAAAGCAATTCAACATTTGTGTTCACAATAAAAGATTGTTTGATATTGGACTCAACATACATCATATGTTGTTGCTTTGCATAATAAACGATAGTCGGGCTATGTTAAATAAAATGAGCAGCTCGTGAGTTCGATTTAGTTGAGTTTGATGTTTTGTTAACGAGTTTGGCTCGACTCAAATCGAGCTCGACTAATTGATATTTATAAACGAGTTGAATTTTGAGTTCAATTTCTGACTCGTTTAGTTAGCGAGCCTAACCAAAGGGCTCGAGCTCGATTCAGTGATTTTGCATTGCCTATTTGCAAGGGTACCACAAAAAATCGTTTATGCTATTATTAGTGATTTTATTTTACCTAAGATCAACTCCAGTGCTGCGTTGGAGTCGTATTTCTTCAAAGTAGCGCATAATTTTTGCTCCAACCCTACGCTACAGTTTTGCGTTATTTCAGATAAATGAATAGTGTTTGGCGCAGCACTGGAGCAAATGCGCCAAATTTCTTTTTTTTTTATTTATTTTCTTATTTTTTTTCATGTATTTGTAATGTAATATTAATGTGAATTTTTGTATAATGTGTATTAATAAATATATTTTTTGCTAAATATTTTGTGTAATGTATTTTTTATGTTAAATAATTTTGTTGTGCTTTTTATTTATTGATGTGTTATAATTTTATTTTATAATTTTTTTAATATTAAAATGGCGCCATATGAATAAAAATTTAACACAACTCATTTTTCTACTATTCACCCGTGAACTCAAGCTTCTCTAATTAAATGGTCGGAGCTCTGAAATACTCGATAAATGTTCCGCATGGCATCGTGTTTGAATGATCTACACGTCCCAACTCGATTATCGTTAAACTGAAGTCACACGCGACCTTGCGGAGCCCACGCAAATGGCTTTTTTTAATTTATTTTACATATATAAATATATATAGCAAATTAGTTGAAATAAAAAAAAAATAAAATATTTTTTTATTATTTGAGTAATTAATATTTTATATAAGATTAAATATGCATATATACCAATTTATTTGAAATAAAAAAATGAATAGAAAAATAATATATTTAATGTAGAGTAAAATATAGAGATAAGAGCTGGAGATGAATGTTCAACTCCTACTATAGAGTAGAGTAAAGTTCGCGCTAGAGTAGAGATAAGAGTTGGAGATGACCTAACGAATTTCAAGATGTTTTCTTTTAACAATCATTTTACGTGGATTAGTATTTTATTAAATAATTTAATTGACATGTGTTAAGATTTATGGATTTGTTTACGGGAAGATAAAAAAAGAAAAAAAAGTACTGGACAAATAAAAACATAAAAAGAAAGATGTGGACAACAATCAAAATCACGTATTTTGTGAATACGTTTTTCATTGTAAAACGTATTCACAAAATATATTTCACATTGTAAAAAAAATTGAAAAACGTATTTAGAGAATACGTTTTCCAATTAAAATTGTATGGAAAACGTATTCTCTAAATACGTGTTTTTTATTTTTGTCCACATTCTCTTTTGGAGTTTTTCAATACAAGACATGAAATATAGGTAAACTATTTGGGGGCCTGAAAGATTTTTTTCTCAATTCGGGACCTAAATGTTATAAAGTTATCAAATTAAGTCCTACAATTAACAACACTCATAAAACCACTAAATTGAGAGTTAATTTGAAGTTTTAAAACACCAATTTTTTTTAATTTTTTTTTTAATATTATGCAAATGTTTACTTATTATTTTATGTGAGTAAGCAACAATCTTCTATTTTTTTTTTCAAATTTGGTGATTTAAAATTTCAAGTTAACTCTCAATTTAATGGTTTTATGAGTGTTGTTAATTGTAGGACTTAATTTGATAGTTTTATAACATTTAGGTCCCGAATTGAGAAAAAAAAATTTCAGGTCCCGAATTGATAGTTTACCATTTTTCAGGCCTTATATTGAAAAAACTCCTTTTTTTTTGTGTTTTTTTTTCAGTTGTATTTTAATTATTTTCAATATATAAATTCCCCAAAATTTATGTACCATTAAAAAAAAAATCTTTATGCTATTATTAGTAGAACATAATTTAATATATCATTAAAATAAATTAATTTCCATCTCGATTCCAAATCTCCTTCACCAAACAATACCTAAAATTCGATGGAAATCCTATGTGCTCTGTCCCTGCCAGCTAACCATCAGCACTCCTGGCGCACGTTAGACGCCACCGCCCTAGCCCAGAACTTAATCTGCGCCTTCACATCCTCCGCCGCCCGCTTCCCGCCCCACCTCGGCACCGGCGGCGCAGAATAGCTCTGTGCGCCCCAAGACTCCGATAGATACGATCTACGAGCCCCAGTGCTCTTCCCTTCATCCTCTTGGGTAATATCCCTTTTCTCGTCGAAATCGAAACCCAATTCCTTAAACCCCTGCAATTCCTTGGACTCCAGATCGATTAAGCTTTTATGTGATTTCAGCTGATTAATGGGACGTTGGGGCCTGATTGTCTCCTCCGAGCCCTCAATTTTACTGCTCTCTACCTCAGGTATTCTTCTTGATCTCTGCCTTGTTATGCTCGGACTTGGTGTTGAACTCTGCAAAAAAAAACAATAATTGGGAGTGAAATTTGGGGGGAAAAAGGTTCAGTCTTTGGTGATTTCTCGAGATTTTTTTCTGTTTTTGTCTGTCTGTCTGTCTGTCTGCCAAGTGTTTGATAAAATGCGTGAAAGTGTTTTTTTTCCTTTTTTACCTTATTAGTAGAATGTGTCCTGGGAGGCAAAGTGTCCGAGTTCTTCATAGAAGCTTGCCTGATCAATTTACCCATTGAGAACTCAGTCTCCTCATCTTGATACTCCTCGGGCTCGAGGCTAATCGGTAGGGACGGGGCCCGGTTCAGACCACCCCTCGACGATTTTTTATTTTTGTTTGATCTTTTGCTCCTCTGAGGATCACTTTTCTGATCCTGTCTTTCCAAGGTAGATGGGACTGAAGGTGCTTTGATCAAACTCGGCCGATCGATTTTGCGTTCGCTGATGGATAATTTCTCGATCGATCGGTAGGTCTCCTCGTACGATTTCCCGGGCGAGTTCTCCTCTCCGGCGAAGTCTGAGGAGGTGCAAGGCTCGGAAAGGCTTCTGATCATTCTTGATTTACGATGAAGCGAGTTGCCGAAAAACCAGCAATCTTCGAGTAATTCACTCGGCTCTACTCTCTCGGTATCGTCTCTCGACTCGTGGTGAGTTTTCTTGTGATCCATGATTGGATTTGGATTGAATTGAGACTTTTGTTCTGATTTTTTTTTTTTTTTTGTCACACAAGATGAATGAATGGAGATTGGGGTTCTTGAAATATTGTTGGTGGGCTATATTTATATGGTGTGTGGTGTTTACTTTTATATTGTGTGATGTATATTAAACGAGTAATGCTACAAGTACATAATAGTGTACATAAGAGTGTACATAATACTCACATTGAATGAGACCGACCAAAAATAAAAAATCAAGTGGACCCCATACCATGTGAGAGTTATGTACACCTCTATGTACATTTATTATTTATTATGTACATGTAGCATTTTCATGAACTAATAGGGGGTAATGAAATATATGTATTATGGTTTTATTTTATGTGGAAAAGCTGTAAAATTTTCTGATTGGGGAGGCCATGTGGGGCTGAGATGTCATGTGCTTAAAATTTGCTGTGTTTATTATTATATTACATTGTGTAAATTAGGGAGACGCATTATAGGGCCAAATCCTTGGTAAATAAGACTTGGATTTTTGTCTTTATTTCAATTTTTTTATGCAAGTAATGAGGTGTTGCCATTTGGATGTGTATTAGGTAAATCACAATGTTGAGCCTAGGTGGCAGATTCTCACGCTTCGGATGCTGACATGACGAAATTCTATGCTTCGTGATGTTTTTATATTATTTTTGCTCTAGAGTTAGTTTGGTATTAGACATAAATAACTTTACACACATATTCATTAACTCAACACCCATGTTGTACATGAGTATTAGTATTAGTTAGTATGTATTTATGAAATAGCATGTTGATTAAGGGGTGCATTAGATTTTGAGTGA